ACAAAATGAAGGTAGACATTACAGTTACAATATAATTTGGTACAAGAGGAAACAGAGGGCATCCACCTAAACTGACAGGCTGGGCAAGGACATCATTAATCAGAGAAGTAGCCAAGAAGCCCATGGTGACTCTGGAGGAGCTGCAGAGATTCACAGCTCAGGTGGGAGAATCTGTCCACAGGATACCTATTAGTCGTGCGCTCCACAAATCTGACCTTTATGGATGAGTGGCAAGAAGAAAGTCATTGTTGAAAGAATGCCATAAGAGGTCCCTTTTGCAGTTTGCAAGAAGCCATGTGGGGGACACCGCAAACATGTGGAAGAAGATGCTCTGGTCAGATGAGACCAAAAGTAAAATGCTATGTGTGGTGGAAAACTAACACTGCACATCACCTTGAACACACCATCCCCACCGTGACACATGGTTGTGGCAGCGTCATGTTGTGGGGATGTTTTTCTTCAGCAGGGACAGGGAAGCTGGTCAGAGTTGATGGGAAGATGGATGGAGCCAAATACAGGGCAATCGTAGAAGAAAACCTTTTAGAATCTGCAACATAATTGAGACTGGTTCAAAAGTTCACCTTCTAGCAGGACAACGACCCTAAATATGCAGCCAGAGCTACAATGGAATGGTTTAGATCAAACCATGTTCTTGTGTTAGAACAGCCCAGTCAAAGCTCAGGCCTAAATCCAATGGAGAATCTGTGGCAAGACTTGAAAATTGCTATTTACTGACACTCTCCATCCAATCTGACAGAGCTTGAGCTATTTTGCAAAGAAGAATAGGCAAAAATGGTACTCTCTACCTTTACTTTTTTAAGGCACTGTATCTTTGTCTGTAGGTAAAGCTTTGCACAAGGATTATTGTGTATACAGTGTATGTATGTATATATATATATATATGCTATATTGCCAATCACCTCCATGGCCACAGGTGTAAAAAATCAAGCACCTAGGCATGCAGACTGCTTCTACAAACATTTGTGAAAGAATGGGTCGCTCTCAGGAGCTCAGTGAATTCAAGCGTGGTACCGTGATAGGTTGCCACCTGTGCAATAAGTCCATCCATGAAATTTCCTTTACTACTAAATATTCCACAGTCAACTGTTAGTGTTATTATAACAAAGTGAAAGCAACTGGGAACAACAGCAACTTGTAGGGTTGTCACCCCATCCCTTTAAAACTGAACACATATTAATTCCACAGGTTCTGAGGGTAATTTAATGCAAAAAAGGTAATATGTGAGTTTAATTACCACCTTAATCAGTCACAGAACCTGTGTAATGCTCAGTTTTAAAGAGATGAGGACTAAGACTGGGATGCCATTAACCACTTGCCGTCCGCCTGCTGTTTATAAACGGCAGGGCGGTGGCACTCCAAGGGCGGGTTGCCGTTCATAAACGGCACCCACCTTTTGTCCTCCGGACACAGTGAAACACCGATCGTCGGACGTGACCTCGGTCCCGATCATGTGATCACTGATTGGCCAATCAGTGATCACATGCAAAGTAGTAACCAAGATGTCACTTGTGACATCATTGCTTACTACGTGTGAAATCTGTGAATGATCACAGAGGTCACATGGTACAAGGCTATTCACAACAGCCTTGCACCATGTGACAAGGTGTGACCAATCACAGCTCACTCAGTATTTCTCAATGGCTGCAAGAATGCAGACAGAGAGAAAGAGAAATGATTGCTTTTACATCCTATATGGGTGTAAAAGCAATCACTGTAAAAAAAAAAAAAAAATTTACATCACCCCCCACAAGTAGTACAGTGTCACCATGGTGACACTGTACTGCTAGGGTGACAGTATGTAAAAAAAAAAAAAAAAAAAAAAATGTTAAAAAAAATGTTTATAAATTATAACTTTTGGTTATAAACTAATTTGGCTTATTTTTTTTTTTCTAAATATATAACGGAATACATTTTGGTCAAGATTTATGATGAAAGATTATTTATTTGCAAAATTTTATAAGAAACACTTTTTTTCAAAATTTTTTGACTTTTTCATTTACATAGCAAAAAAAATAAAAATCCCAGCGGTGAATAAATACCACCAAAATAAAAATGTATCTGTCTCAAAAAAATGGTAAAAAATTCATATGGGTACAGTATTGCATGACCGCGCAATTGTCATTCAAAGTGTGATAGCGCTGAAAGCTGAAAATTGCCCTGGACAGGAAGGGGGTAAAAGTGTCCGGACTGGAAGTGGTTAAAGTTCAGGTGCGTGTAAAGGCAGGTATCTCAATACTCTTGGCAATATAGTGTATATATATATGTATATATATATATATATATATATATATATATATATATATATATATATTAGTACTTAGCATAAGTGAGTATACCCCAACAGATTTGCCAGAAAACCTTTACTTTACTTTCAAAATCAACATTTTCTATGGGACACTATACTACGAAATACTCCCACAAATGCGGGCCATTGATTGCAAACACGATTTGTTCATTTGCACACACAAAAATGTAATTTTCCTAACAAATTCATTCAAGACCATGTTGCAAAAATGAACACACCCCAATGAAAGTCTTAGGAGCAAAGCTAAATTTTAGACAACAAAATCCTAATTAACAAGAATTAAACTACAGGTGAATATAATTATTCATTAAACAGGTGTCCAGCAGATAGCTGATTATAAAAGGGCGTTACTTAACAAAGAAAACCCCTTCCCATTTCAGGCTACAAGAATATTAGCAAAGATTTACTTAACAGTCAGAATATTGTAGCAAAAGTGATACAACAATTTAACAAAGATGGAACTGCAGCCATCTCACGGAGATGTCCAGGCCATCCACGGAAGTTAACACCTCGACAGGAGCGTCTTCTAAGCAGGGTTGAAGAAAATAGTCATGCAAGTTCACTTCAACTAGCTAGAGAAGTAGAAAGTCAAACTGGGGTGATTGTTTCCTGTGACACAACAGGGAGTACACTGCAGAGGAATGGCATGCATGAGTGTTGTCCACGAAGGAAGCTTCTCCTAAAGCCCAAGCACAGAAAAGCCCACCTAGAATTTGCGAAGGCCCATGCTGAAAAAGAACAAGATGACAGGGACTCTGTACTCTGGAGTGATGAGACCAAGATAAATGTTTTTGGAACTGATGGCTCAATCTTGTACAGCATCGTAAAAGCAAAGAGTACAAAGAAAAATGCATGGTGCCTACATTGAAACATGGTGGTGACAGTGTCCTTCTGTGGGGCTGCATGGTGTTGGGGAGCTGCATTTTATTGATAGTATCATGAATTCACAGATGTACTGCTCTATATTGAAATAGAAGATGCTACCATCACTCCGTGCCTTTGGTCGTTGTGCACTTTTCCAACATGACAATGATCCAAAACTCACATCTAAGGCCACTATTGCATTTCTAATGGAGAACAGGGTGAAAGTGATTCATTATGTCTCTTTATTTGAACCCAATCAAACATCTATGGGGAATTCTGAAGGGACAAATTGAGCATCGCTATCCATCCAGCATCCAGGCTCTAAATGAGGTCGTTCTTGAAGAATGTAAAAACATAGATGTTGCAATATGTCGCCAACTTGTTCATTCCATGCTTAGAAGACTTGGTGCTGTCCTTACAAATCATGGCGGCCACACAAAAAACTAGATGTAGCAGTTTTTATTGTGGGGTGTATTCATTTTTGCATCAACTAATTTGAGTAAAACTGAAGATTTTGAAATCTAAGTTATATTATTAGCCTTACTTTCATCTAATGAGCTAAACAAATGTTCTATAAAACTCAGTTTTGTCAAAACTTTTGGAAATTGTTGTGTTCACTGAGATATTGATTAAAATCTTACTTTTCAAGAGGGGTGTACTAATATATGCTGAGCACTGTTTGTATATAAAAAATATATATATGTATATAAATAAATATATATATATATATATATTTTTAAAAAATAATATCATGACATATAGCACTACACATTAGCATTATATTGTTTCTTCAAGTATATAAAATTTTTTTTTAGCAAAAGTAAAATATAGTTCATTACTTTATTCCCTATTGTGCTTACGCTGAATGTAGAATACAGAATATTAAGTCTTGCTAGCTTTTCTTTTTAAAAATAGAATTTCAGTTTTGTTTCTTATATTTATTATCCATTTGCCGTTCCTGCTTGTATCTCTGCAATGCACTTTGTCCCATGTCTGCTTCCATTAGCAGAGATACTTCTGATGTCCATTGAGAGTGAAAGATGTAGCTACATGTTATAAAATCCTTGTAGTGGCACAACAAAGGCTATGTTTTAGGGGCTCTTTACTTTGTTCTATTGTATATCATGCCATTATAATGGCTGCCTCCAGCTCTGCCAAGGTGAAAGGTTTCAAAATATCCCAGCTGGGATTTTTCTCCATTTGCAGTGAAATTCTAGATAATGGAGTACTTGGTTGATGCAGACACCACCACATTGCACTGAGCATCATGACTTGCCAAACACAAGACACTTTACAGCATCAAAGTAAGAGTTTCGTGTGCAACATCATCTACATTCAGTTTATAATAGACTAAAAAGAAAACTAACTTTGGCAAACCAAAAATTATATATATATATATATATACAGTATATATATATATATATATATATATAATTTTTGGTTTAACCTCCCTAGCGGTATGATTATTTCAGATTTTTGGTGCTGAAAGCGGTACCATTATTTTGCATGGAAATAAGTAGTTTTTTTTATTGTAGGCTGTCATTTTTAGGAATAACTCACTGAAATCTGTCCGAACAAGAGTCTATTAAAAATCCGGGTATGATAAAATTTGAAACACAAAATCATAAATTATAATTTAATAAATAATCATAAAAAATAATAATATAATAATAATACATTTAATTCAATAATATAATCAAACCGAAAACACTGAAATTTGAAATAGAGCGCCAAGTTCGCACATTGCTGAGCAAAGTCGCAAAATCGTTTTCAGTGTCTGATGACGAATTTCCCCACGAATCATTATCACTCAATTCTGCAAGTGGTTCTAATTTACTATCACTGTTCTCTAGCTGATCTAAACCCGCTTTTGACCTAAAGGGACACTTTTTGGACGCCATGGACATTTCTCAGTTTCCAGGCAGAAAGAACAGACAAAATGCAGGCAGGGCACAGGACAAAGCACTAGGGACAATATGTATGTGAAATGGGTTGAAACAGCAATGTTTTACTATGAAAAATGTGTTTTGAAAAACATGACATTTTTTAAAATTTTCAAATTTCCTGCCGCCGGCGGCGCCCGTACGTCCCGACGTCACAGGGACCGGAACACAGAAGCCGGGTGCCGGCATCGGCCGGAGGAGATGGCCGGGGACGCTGCAGGGGACACAACGCGGGAGCGAAGGACAAGGTAAGCTCTGCAGGGACTCCCTATGCAGCACCGCATGGTAAGCCTGAGTATAGCTTGGGGTTACCGCTTCTGGCACTGACATTTTACCCCGAGCTACACTCGGGAATATCACTAGGGGGGTTAATGAAAAGTTATACATATATAGTATATGTATAACTTTTTATTTAAGAGGTGGTACATGGAAAAAAGAAGGAATGCTAAACAATACAATTACAGATAGCTATCTGTCACACTCCAAAGAGTCAATAGTGTATTGCAAATCATCACGTTGTACACTTACATCATCGGGACAACATCAAACTTTTTCTGCAGTGTGTTTGAAATTTGGATTCTGATAAGACCAGATACCAGAACTTTGTCATAAAGATAACATCTATGTTGAAAACTGTGAACTTCACAACAGAACAAAAATTAAAGTGGTTCTAAGTGCATTTTAAAAAAAATAACAAACATGATCTACTTACCTGCTCTGAACAGTGGTTTTGCACAGAACAGCTCCAATCTTCCTCTTCTTGGGTCCCCTGCCGGCACTCCTTGCTCCTACCCCTTGCTCCAATGCCTCCATAGCAAGCTGCTTACTCGCGGGGGCACTCGTGCCTGCTTGTTTCCGAGTCAGGTCTGTGTATCCATTGTGCCGCACCCCCTGTGATTGACAGCAGCAGGAACCAATGGCTCTGTTCAATGAAGAGAGGGAGATACACGAGAAAGCCACTGTTCTTGTGCACATTGCTGCATCAAGATTCGGCTCAGGTAAGTATTTAGGGGGTGCTGGTGGTAGGGAGCTGCATGCAGGTTTTTTTTTTACCTTAATCCATATAATGCATTAGGCCAAAAACTTTGTACCTGTAGGACCAATTTAATACCTGAATACATATGGAGAACTCTAGCAAATCCAGACACAACCTTACTTAACATCAAAACAGTTATGATCTAGAGCAGTGGTCTCCAAACAGAAAACCAGGTGTCGAATGTGGCCCTTTGCTTGCCTTTATCTGACCCTTGGGGAGCTATTCCCCCCACTGATACAAGGCACTATTCCTACCACTGACTCAGACCCTCAGAGTCTCAGGGATAGTAAGCTGGTCCTTTGTTAAGAAAGCTTGGAGATCCCTGACTTAGAGCTACCTTGATCTTAGTCATAGCTTGATCAAAATCCAAATACATCCTAATCTTAATATGTTCTTTGTTTCTTTTCATTTCAGGGAGCAAGAAAAAGATCTAATGCCCACAGCTTTAATGCAGCTGAATGCTCACACTGGTGGTTCTGGTCAGTACGTCATATATGCTTTCTGTATTTTTGAGTGGATTACTTTTTTCACACATTAAAGAAGAATTGCTGCACTATGCTGGCTTGTGCATTGATGTTTTACAATTCTAAGAATGCTGCACTCTGTCCTTTCAAGAGCTGCAAGGCATAGCTTTTGGCCATTTCTCCACACATGAACTGATTACACTTCTTTGGCTGAGTTTTGGAGAATGTTTTCTACTATTGAGTGGTTAGCACTTTTTATTGTGATACAATATTTGTTCTGTGCTGCACAATTTGTTTTATGCACTATTCACATCCAGTTTTCGGTACTCTATGCAGATGAGGACTATCAGAGTAAAATCAGAATCCTATTTTGGGTCAGTGACTCAGAAAGTCTTGAAACCATTTGATCAATATTATATCCAGGGAACTAGCATTTTTGGATGATGATATCAGCAATTATGGCATTCAAACGTCCTCAGTACAGGTTTTCTTGGGTAATGGTTGGAATGAAGTAACCTTTTCTTTACCCAATTGTAATAGCTCTTATTTTTTATTTTCTTAACTTAAAGATACCAACTGGCCATGTCGGCCTTGCTGGGTAACAAGGTCGACATGGCTGAAATGCACTAACATCTGCTGTACCACAAGTGTCTTTTATGGAGTAACAATAATTTTGAAGACATTTAAGAGCATGTATGGAGTTGTGGATCATCTTCTTCTACTGATTGTGTTTACCGCTGTGCGACTGCTCATCCTGCACCCACAGTTCTGAATGATTTTCTCATATTTCAGTGTAGTAGCACCTTTTTTTCATTTCTGAAGGCTGATATACCTGTGAACATGCAGGACCCTCTGTTATACCTATACCAGCACATATTGCATTCAGCATTGAAGGTTTGATTCTCACTAGTCAAATGTGGATGGGCACTACACTTTTTTGTACCATACATGCTCCATGAAGATGAATAGGCATGAGGGTTTGAAATCACCCAATTGCCTGTCTCTCAACGGGAGTGATATCTGGGTGGCTTAATTGCAGCGGAGGATTGGCGTAAGGCCTGGGGAATGGTGGCGAAATGTTCATTCAATATAGTCACTCTTGAGGCAGCCTACAAAATTCTCCTGCGGTGGTACTGGGTCCCGGCTCGGATTGCTCATTTTAATCCGACTGGCGGAGATAGATGTTTCCGGAACTGTGGTCTATACGAGGGGACGTCTTACACATTTGGTGGTCGTGCCCGCGATTAATAGGCTTCTGGTCTAGGGTTTTTGGTTTGCTACAAACGCTATTTCACATTACGGTCCGTAGGGATGCAAGGGTGGCCTTTCTGCATTGCCCAATTTTGGGTCTGTCTAGATCTCAGCAGAAATTGGCATCCTTCCTATTTATTTCAGCCAAACGTGCCATAGCTCAAGCTTGGAGAACCCCTTCAGTGGTCTTCCAAGGGGTGAAGACCCGGATGAATGATATGTTGATCAATGAACAGATGTCTAGCATTCTTCATGATTCTCATCCGAGAATCCTTAAGGTTTTGGAACCTTGGATACAATATTCCTTGCCATCCCTGCCCCCTACTAGTTATGGCCTCTTATAGTTGCTGCCTGTGCTAGCCCTGGATCCGTGATTCTCCTAGTCTCCCTTTCCTCTATGTTTTCTTTCTGATTCCCTTTTTTTTGTCATATTTATTTTCTTTTTTCCTTCTTCTAACCTTTTTTCTTTCCTCTTCTCTTTACGGTATGATGTTGGACTACTGCTGATAATATTTGGTTCGGCTTTTTGCCGTCCTTCCTTGCTGTCATTGGACATTTTGTTATTTGGCTAATACAAGTCAGCAGGATGTATCTGTTTCTGAGTTATTGTTATGCTCGGCCCCTGCGTGGGCTTATATTGAGCTTGTTGTGTTCCTAAAACAAAACTTTCTTAATAAAAATATTGAAACAGAAATCACCCAATCGCCTAACTAACTAACTTAGAGCCAAGTAAATGTGAACAGTGTTTCCATACACACATTACAAATAATAGCCTTGCCGTTAACAAAGAGGTGGAGTGTGATCGCATAGCAGGCTGGACCATCTTTGTTGGCACCGATACCTCGGTAACTGGCATTGTAAGGTCTTAATTTTTTGTTGCATCTGGAGGACCTGGGAGAACATCTACTTTATCCTAATGTAGCCAGGTGCCAGTACTGTCATTTATATTTTTCATTCAAGTCACTGTGTGGTATTGTAAATGTTAACTTGTTGTGGTGCGTCTCCCACTTGGCCTGTTCAGGTTTCCATAGGTTGGGTATTTTAGCAGGAAGATGATGGGCCAGCAATTGGCCTGTGAAGAGTTAGAAGTTGGAGATTGGTCATGGGACGGAGAAGGACCAAACAGAGAGAGATGTAGGGCTATATCAGGATAGGGGTCACCCCTTGGTGGGACACTGAAGCTGGACTGTTAGCAAGCCATTTACCTTCATTTGGGGACTATTTACAAGCTAAACACCACAACAGAGCCCCAAATCCTATGAATGTTAAAGAGGAAGGCTATTGCCTTGAGACTTGTTACATTGCCACATGATTAATGGGAAACTGTTGAAGAGAAGGTTTATGCCTATACCAACTTCATTCAGTAAACTGAATTTCTGGTTAAGTGAGTTATGTGGTCTGATTCTTGGGAAGATAAAGTGAGTGAAAGCCTATGGTGTATGAGACCAGGTAACAAAGAGTGTACCTAAATGTTAACTTCATGAGTAATGTAGAGAGACAAGCAAAACAAGGAGAAGCAGACAGTTCAGGAGAGGAGACCATGGTGGCCGGTGATGGAGGTTCTGTTGATGGGATGGATTGGTGGCTGTATGGTCTAACCATCTAAACAGCAAGGACCCAAGGTTAGTGTCCACTTGGTAGCAGAACCCTCCTTTATACTGGACCTCAACCATAACTGTGCAAGGTTTCATGAAGTATACTGCAGTTTCCCTTCATGCCTTTGGGTTGACAGAAGAAAAGAGTAATGTGTCACATCTGTAAAGAACTGGTGGAGGAAGATCAGTATTCACTCTATCTCTCTCAAAAATAGCTTCGTAGTCAGTGCCGGGACAGGTGTCAATGGTAAAACACTATGCTTCTGGTGATGGGACCTGTGTAACAGATTAACCTATGACTATGAGTGGGTGCTAACTCACACATCAAGTATTACCATCATTAAAGCACCTAAACAATTATTAAACAATCATAGCATGTGGTTCCCTGTGCTAGTGACCAACACTTTGCCATTAACAAAGAGGTGACAGTTAATGACATAGTAGGCTGGACCATCTTTGTACACATTTTTAATTGTCACAAAATACCTTAAAATTTCACAAAGTAAGAATTACATTTCTGTAGCATTCTGTTATCACAGGCTAGAATAAAGCACAATGCCATTGTCATCTACAGCATGTATACCTAAAAGTGTTTCAAGTCATGCTTCTAATCTCACAATAAGTGACTGATCATGAATCAATCAACCAATCTTCACTGAACTGTTGCAATTCCAAATTCACAACAGCAATAAAAGCAAACATATAAAAGCCCAGAAAGTACAATGAAACACATATTGTAAAGATAGGTAAAATAGAATCAAAGGTGCTTTTGTAACTGTTGATCTGAAATGGCATCAGCCACATAAAGTGCCATTCATAGTAGTAGCAAAGTAAAGAAGGATTCTTCCCAAGAATATTTACTTTGACGGTATCTGCTCAATT